TGGGCATCATTGAGATGTGGTACCTAGTTAATGAAGCAAATTTGGAACAATAGCACAAGAAAACTCATGACGCCTCATTGAGAGAAGCCCTCCACGAAACTCAATGAAAATAATAATTTGCCGATTTCTGGTAAGATTATAGGGTCATAGAGATCTTCAGCACAGGAAAAGGCCCTTTTGCCCATCATGTCTGCACAGATCAAAAACAAGTATCTAACTATTCTAATTCCATTTTCCAGCACTTGGCCTGTAGCCTTGCAGGCCTTGGTATCATAAATATACATCTAAATACTTCTTAAATGTTATTAGGGTTTCTGCTTCTACCATCCTTATAGCTAGTGAGTTCCAGATTCCCACCACCCACTGGGTGGAAAAGATTTTCCTCACATCTCCTCTAAACCTTTTGCTCCTCACCTTAAATCTATGTCCCACAGTCATTGATCCTTCCATCAAGGGGAAAAGTATTTTTCTATCTACCCTCATAATTTTATACATCACAATCAGGTCCCGGTCCCCTCTCAATCTCCTCCTTTCTAATAAAAACAATACTAGTTTGTCCAGTCTGTCTTCATAATTGAAACTCTCCAGTCCAGGTAATATTGTGGTAATGTGTACACCCTCTGTAAGTCCTGTTATATCCCTCCTATAACATGGACCCCAGAACATGCTTACAATGCTCTAACTGTGGCCTAACCGACATTACATACAGTTCCAGTATAACCTCCCAGCTCTTAAACTCTATGCCTCAGTTAATAAAGGCCAATGAACCATGTGCCTTCTTAATGACTTTATCTGTCTGTCTTGATACCTTAAGGGACCAGTGGACATGCAAACCAAGTTCTTTCCGATCCTTGGTTTCCCAAGGTCCTACTTTTCATCATCTATTCCCTTGCCTTGTTTGTCCTGCCCAAATGCATCACCTCATATTTATTCAGACTGAATTCCATTTACCACTGATCAGCCCTTCTATATCTCCTGTAATCTAAGGCTAAGCTCCTCACTATTTACCACCCACCAATTTTTGTACCATCTGTGAACTTACTGATCAACTTTCCTGCATGCAAGTCTAATTCATTTATATAAACCACAAGCAGAAAGGGCTCCAATACTGATCTCTGTGGGACCCCACTGGACACAGACTTTTAGTTGGAACAATACCCCCCAATCATCATCCTCTGTGTTCTGCCACGCAAGCAATTGTGGATCCACTTTACCAAATTTCCATGGATCTGGGCTCTTACCTTTGCTTTGACACTTCCATGTGGGATCTTATCAAAAATCTTGCTAAAATCCAAACAGACTACATCAAAAGCATTGAACTCATCTACTCTGATTCAGCCTTCTGTGCCTCTTAAAAATAAACTGTCTGTGGAATAAAACACAAAACTGTCCAGTTCTGCTACTTGTCCCTTTACTCCATTTAATTTGACCTTAATATTCAGTCTACTCTACATACTCTATTGGAGGACATTTAGAAATCTAAATGTGTTAGGTCCATTGCATTAGTTTAATCTACATTTTCCAATACTCTTCAGAAAAGTTAATAAGGATGATCAAACTGATCTCCCTTTATAAAAATCCATTCTGACTACTCTGATTTTCTTTTTGTTTCTCAATGTTACTCTATTGCATTTCTAAGTAAAAATCCCATTATTTTTCCTTCCCACCAATATTAAGTCAATTGGTCTACAGTTGCCTTGTTCTATCCCCTTTTTAAATATGAGATCCATGTCAGCTGTCTTCTGACAGTCCTTTCCATTAATAATTTATTTTAATATGTGTAATAGTTTTTCTGATATTCCTTCCCTTGTTTTAAGATGTCATTTCACAGTAATTATCATGAAATCATCAACCTTTGCACTGTTCTGTCTACTTTGACTTTTGTTATTTATGTGTCGATAGAATAGCTTAGTATTTCTTTTTAAACTCCTTGTTAACTTAGTTTTACATATTCTTTTTGCGTTTCTAATTGAGTTTTTGGCTTATTTGTAACCATTTTGAATTCCTTTTTGTCAACCTCTCCTTTGTTATGACAAAAGCTGTACCTGATGCATGCCTTTTCCCTCAAATATTCAAAAGTGTATTCTGGCCGGCTATGTTTGAGTTTTGTTTATGAGTGGAATATATTTCTCCTATGCTCTGCTGATTACTATTTCCAATGTTTCCCATTGCTGTTCTATTTCTTTCTTCGTCAGTAAGTCTGCCAGTTCATTTTCACTTTTTTCGTAAGTTTAATCTTACCTTTCTTTTTCCTTCTCATCACCACCATTCAGGGAGCTTTCGCACTGATTTACAACAGGCCCTGCTGTTAGAATGGTTATTTCTTTTGAAATTGAACTCACACGCAGTCACAAACTCATTACAGTAGAGAAGGAAGGCATTTGGCCCATTTTGCTTATGCCAGCACTTTGTAGACCAGTCCAGTTAATCCCATTCCACTACTCTATCTCTGTGGCCCAACAAGTTTATTTCCCCCAAATATCCATCCAATTTCTTTTTGAAGCGAGTTTATGCTCCTGGTGGTGGCGGAGGAGGAGGGAGTCGATAGTGTGATCCTGGTGGTGGAGGAGGAGGCGGGTTTGGTCCCAGTGCCTGGTGAAGGACCCGGCAGCTCCAACGGCAGCTGCATTGCTATGATCAGCCCAGCATGGATTCATGGTGACGGTGGCATCTGTAGTGGCAAGGTGGCAATTGGCAGTGAGGTGAAGGGACTGCCAATGTTGCCTGTGCGGCAGGGTGGAGAGGCCCGAATCCAGACCCAAGGCTAAGCACTTAAGAAGGACTGTAATGTTGAACTTGTAACTTATTTCTTTATTTTTCGACTTTATACCTAGGATTTTGTATCTGGGCACCTTCGCATTTAAGATGGCACCAGAAATGGCAGCTTAGTACACTTTTCACTATATTCTTATGTCCCTTTACTGGAGTACACGTGACAATAAAATCTAATTCACAATTCAGTCCAAAACCTTAAGTCTGTGTTTCCTAGTTCTCGTATCATCTGCTAATGAGTACAACTTTTCTTTGACTATCTTATTTAAACCTGTCATGTTTTATATTCCAAGGAAAACAAAACAGCTTATCTGACTTAACTTTGAAGTTACAACCACTCAGCCTTGGAACTATTCTGGTAAATTTCCTCTGCACCCTCTCAAGAACAGCAAAGGTCAAGAAAGAATTCTAGAGGAATAATTAGCTTATGGTTGGCTTGCACTTGAGACTAATTGCACAGCCTGGTTGTTACCTGCATAGACAAGTCCAAAGATAGCATCAGCCCTACTTGGGCATATGTGCTTTCCCAACCCACACTTAAACAGAAGCATCTTTCTCTATGTGTAACTCTGATTTTGAGATGCTCCATCTTGTTAGATACACTGAAAGGCAGTCGCAAACAGCTGCAAAATGAAGAAGCACATACACCATGTCAAATATGTGAGCAACCTGGGTATCAGTATATTACTGTATGTCACCAAGCAAGTGTTTATCTTCTATAAATTACTTGAGGAATTCTTGCTTTTTTCAAAAATAGGTTAATGAGTGTCACTAAATGGATTAACAGGTTAATCAACCTGTTACAACAAACTTCTGGGGCAGATGGGACTCAAACCTGGGCTTTCTGGTCCAGGCAGACATACACCAACACTGCGCCACGAGAACCCAAACCCTACTGCACCTGGCATTCCCAGGGGGTCTTCTATCCAAAGCTAAACCAGGCACGAGTCTGCTTAGCTTCCAAGATCAGACGTGATCCACCATTTTCAGACTAGGACGGATTTAAGATATTATAGGCTGAAATGTTGGGAGTGTAGCAATGTTTTCAATTATTCATGACATCTCATAGACAATGTTACTCTGAAGTATGAATATGCATGCAATAAGAGCATTAAAGTTGCCGAGGGCTTGGCAAACGGTCAAATTGGTTAACAATAAGCCTGTTTACCACCTTTTGCCAAGAATGATGCATTGCCACCTGAAGTTTCAAACTGGACAAGCTCATGCAGCAATAAGTGTACTTGGTTACCAAAGCAGTGATTGGTTGTTGCAAAAATCCACTATTTGCTTAAAGACTTTTGCTCTGCATCTCTGCATTAGGTTTCTTTTCACATGATTTATGCCTTATGGTACTCACCCGTGCCATTCTGAGCCTAAGCTGCCAAGTATTTAATGTGAATGTTGGAGAAATAAAAGCAGAGATGACATTCGTCCCCCAAAAAATACAGACATTTCTTTAATTTGGATCTGCTGACCAAATTTTTCTCTTCTCTTATTAGGCTGGTTTCAAAAGTCAAAGGTACAAAACGCATATGAATAATTATTTAAATCAACGGATGGTGAGTAAATGGGGGCTAGTCATTTTGTTGGTTTGCTGGATAGATTTGCTTTAGCAATGCAATACAAATGCCTCACTAAGGGTAATGGCAAGATTTGTTTTATTTGGGGTATCCAGCAACTACTACAGTTTTGCTGGGAATAAATTCTCAGCAGTATTTTCTCAAATCAATAATACTTCCTATCTTTTAGGAAACTTGTACTAAGGTTGAAACCCCAGCAAAAGTTCCTAGACCTGACAAATTTAAGGGGATGGCTTGGTGGTATTGTCGTTGGACTGTTAATCCAAAACCCGGATAATCTTCTGGTGACCTGAGTTCGAATTCAACCATGGCAAATGGTCAAATTTGAATTCAACAAAAAGAACAGTCTGGAATTCAGAGTCTAATGATGACCATGAATCCATTGTCAATTGTCGAAAAAACCCATCTGGTTCACTAATGTTCTTTAGGGAAGGAAACTGCCATCCTTTCCTGTTTGGCTTACATGTGACTCTAGACTCTCAGCAATGTGCTTGACTCTTAACTGCCCTCTGGGCAACTAGGAACAGGTCATTAATTCTGGCCCGGCCAGTAACTACCTCATCCCGTGAATGAATAAAAAACAAATTATACTAAACTAACATACACTGTAATGAAAAACAACATAAATGATATTCAGAAGCAATTTACCTGAGATCCTTTGCCCGGTTTTAAATGATAACCAAAAAGCAGATCCAGATTCACTACTTTTTCTCTGACATCCCCTTCCTCAGAATCCTCATCCTTTAAAGAAATTGTGTAACAATTTATATTTGGCTTTTCAAATAAAGTCTTTTTAATTTTACAAGAACAGTAGCTATTATGGTACTCTAACGTACTATAGCAGTTAGAGTACGTTAGTGCTGAAGCAGCACTAGCAAACAAAATCTGTGAAGAATTACACATTATTGTATAAGCTCCACCCAATCTGATGATGTCAATAAGGACTTGAGTGGGAAAGGCAGAACATCTCTGAATCTCAAAGGGGACAGAACTGCCACCCAAAGTTTCCCAATTGTTCTTAGTAACAATATCTATTTTAATAAAGTATTTTGTACCTAATTACTATCATGGAATAAATTACATCTTTTCAAGGAAAGAACTCCTTTTCACTAGATTATCAAATGGTTTTCCTCAAAAATTTAGACCATTAAGTCCTGTAGACCCACTCAGAATATGACAATAGTGGCAGCTAAGCATATGTTGGCAGTGGCTGGCATTGCATACTCATATGACACACCTGAAGTGTTGAAACTGTACAGAAAACTGAGATGGAAATTTTGTTTTTGACTTTAATACTGATGACAATGGTGAGAGACTGGAAAATGTTGATGTCCAAAGGGATGAGTGTCCATATTTAGAAATCACTGAAAGCTAACACATGTAGAAAGCAATTAGGAACACAAATGGTATGCTACCTTCTACTGCAAGAGAGTTTGAGTACAGTATTAAAAAGTCTTGCTGACTGTATATACTTTTGGTGAGACTACAGCTGGAATTTTCTGTATATTTGGTGGTGAGTTTTTGCAATTCCTTACCTGAGGAGGTTGTGGGGCTTCATCACTGAATATGTACAAGATAGAGATCAAGAGATTTCTAGATATTAAAAAGCATCAGGGAATATGAGGAGAGTGTGGAAAATGGCATTGAGATAGAAGATCAGCTGTGACCTAGAATGACAGTGGCCTCAAGGGCCGAATGGTTTATTCCTACTCCTATTTCCTATATTCATCACTTGCGAAATGAGCAACTCCAGATGAAAACCCAATTAACTGCCTTAACAGTTAAAGTAAGTTTAAGTAATGGAAGGTAAAGTTCCTCAAAGTAAGGAACTGCACTGTGCCTGGCCTATTTGAGTCCTGTGACGGAGTACCCTCTGAGTGAATGACCTCCTCTGAGGAGTTATCAAGATTCCCTGCACTACGTCTGGTGGAATGCTTGAGGACCCTGCAGGAGATTAAAGAGTGGAATTAATCCTGTCAAGGTAAGAATGTCTTGAATGATCATTATGCAATTATATTCATTTACTGTTTATAATATGAGTGAGCATTACACACCATGGTGCTGTCTGATATTTAATTCTGTCACAAAGTAGCTGGCAGGCGCTATCTCTGATGACCAGTATTTCCAAGACTCCATTGACATCCAGCACTTTCACCACTGCAGTTGTTAGCTGATTAGTGGCTGGCTAGCCAATTCTCGTTCTTTACCTCTTAAATGTGTTCTGCGCTCTCTTTTTCTGCAATGAGGCAAAGAAGAGGCCTAAATGACAGTAATTCCATGTCTTGAATGGGTGGACAGCATTTGTTGATGGTGACATGAGGGAGAGACATGACTTTGCATAAAGTGGCAAGTGAATGTCATGGTGGATGAATGGATGGGGATGTGAGGAATTGCAAAGACAGAGAAGGATGGGTGCCCCTGCAAAGTATATTGGTATGAGGACTGCTGTGCTGGAGTAGGCTTGAGAAGAGAGTTGGGGTGGCTGGGACAGTTAGAGTGATATGTGGATCTGTGTGAAAGTGGCGATGTACTCACCTTTCCTTGGGTCATTAAAGTGCTTCCTGCACTGAATGCACAAGAGTTGCACCACGCTTTCGCTGTTGACTTCATGGATACCTCCGGCTACATATCTTCGTATCATTAACAAGGTTCATCTTCCCGTATTAAGCAAAGAGTATCGCCCTAGGCGATGTCTCCCTCTAAACTCCTATAGCCCTTAACATCATTTCCAGGGAGGTTTTTAAAACAAGATGGAGCCTTTGAACATATGGAATCCTTTCTATCAATTCCTTTTGTATGGCTCCTAACTCCAGTATCCATTAAACTTAATATTTGGAATAACTCTTTAAATACTGGAGTTGAAATCACTTCTCCTGGGCCATCATCATGCTAATTGGTCAGGAAATCTGGAAATAATATGGCAACACAGTGGCTGGGTTCAAGAGTCACTAGCACAGACCCAGAGAATGTCTATGAGTGTCATTTCTATGAATTTTCAAAAGGCATTTGATAAGGTTTCTTATAAATGACTCCTAGCTAATGTTGAAGCTTATGGAATTGAAACAAAACTATTGCCTTGGCTAGAAATTGGCTGAGCAGAAGGAGGCAAGAATGCAGGGATGATGGGAAGGTTCTTTAATCGGGAGTGATGTCCTATAAGCATCTGTACTTGGCCTTACGATTCACCACATATATTAATGACATAGATGATGGGATAGCAAATCACATGTCCAAATTTGTCAACGACACAAAAATGGGCAGCTTTGTAAGCAGCATTGATCGAACCATACCATTGCAAAAAGATTGTGACTAAATAGGCAAAACTGTGGCAAATGAATTTCAACATAGTAAAATCTGAGGTACTTTCCTAAATTTCTGGAAGATTGCAGTAATGAGAGAATTATGGAGCAGTTCAAGTACAAGTGGTCACACACCTAAGGGGTCCACAGAATAGGATACCCACCGTTACGAGAAAAGATACCTGCCTTTGACGAGGTACCTCTGTTGGTGAAGGTACCTGAGGCATTCCTAGGGAAACTAATTAATCCAGACAAGTAAGAAGAGACATAACTTGTCCATGTTAATGGTCATTCTGTTGATTTTGTGCTTGATACAGGAGCAAGTTTTGCTGTCCTATCGGACCAGTTACCATGGCTGAAGAAGCAGAAGTTCCAGTTCACAAAGATATGATGACATGGTACAGGCAGAATAACTGACAGACGCACATGAATGCTGCAAATGTATACATTGTTCACTTTTGAACCTGCACAGATCTTGACCTCAACTTTCATTGAAAGAGTTGGAGGAGATTGACAACCTTTTACAGAGCAAGTGGACCAGATACTAACAGCTGACCAAAAATGATCACTGACAAAACCAATAGAACACTTCAGTAATAAAAGCAGGAAGTGCTGAAGGAATTCATTAGGTCTGTCATCAACTGTGGAGAGAAAAACAGAGGTAACATTTCAAGTCTAATTGAATCTTCTTCAGAACCTCAAATTCCTATGAAGATTGATATTGGACTCAAAACATTAATTCTGTCTCTCTCTCCACAGATGCTGCTAGACCTGCTGAGTTTCTTCAGAACTTTCTGTTTTTATTTCAGAGCTCCAGCATCTGCTGTATTTCGCTTTTGTATCAGTAGAACAATTCACTGGGCTTTCCAGACACATGATGTAACTCAAACAGGCGATCAAACCCGGTGAGATCACTGATTTTGGCACAAGAGAACTATTTAACATTGTCAACACAAAGGATGCTAAACTTCACAGTACCGGTGGAAGTGTTCAATCCTCTGTTTTCTAAAACAGAACAATCGGTGCCAGGAAGAGAAATGGTGATGAGTGAGTAGCAATCCTTCAGTAACATGACTGAGAGTCTGAAAACGTTTACTTCATGTTTAAATACAATGGGACACTGAAAACATCCAACCTGAACAACAACTTGAGAGAGATAAGCCACATTTGACTTCACTGGAAATAGAAAAATGTGCACAGATTGGAGGCATGTCAGGAGAATAAACTTCCTTGTCTATTGTAAAGAGAGACTACCTCTCTCAATTACAAAGTGATTGTCTGATCCAGAAATTTAGGATAATACAAGGAAGAAAGTATTAGTTTCAGGAGAGCTGGTGTTTTCCAGAATGGACACTAACACGATTAAAGCTCCACTAAATAATGAGATGGGAAACTATCTAAGTTAGCAGAAAAGTATATAACTAAGAGATATAACATCCTCTAGCGGTGAAATGATGCATTGATCAGAACCAAGATCAAAAGCCCTGAAATAAAATAACTACCATTCTTTCCAAGCCTGAAGAGTGCATGCTTGGAGGAGTGTGAAGTATCCAGACTGCCTACATTTGTGATGATAGAGCTCTGGAGGGAGATGGGAAAGTGGTAAATGTAACATAGTTATACACATAGCATAATTGGTTATTTAAACAGAAGGCAAGCTTGCGGAGAAATGTATCAAGTAATGATTCTGAAGAGATTAATGTTAATAATACATTGGTTTCATCCATTCTACTGATGTCACACTTAACCTGTGGATTGACTGGGCTGCGGAAGGGTTCAGTTACATGGAAAGTTATGGAAAATGTTAGAGGTGGAGTGCCCAGAAGTTATAATAAGACAAGAGAATATGGAAAATGTCAGAAATCCAACTTCAGGCATAACAGATGAGGAGACAACTGTGAGATGGTTGGGTGGTCAATGCAGGATTGGGGGTGTTATACGTAAATGTGCACAGTATACAAAACAAGATAAATGAGTTTGTAGCGTAGATTGAAATGGGCAGGTGAAATGCTGTGGGTATCACAGAGACATAGCTGCAAGGGGAACAGGACAGAGAACTAAATATCCAAGGATACACATCCTATCGAAAGGACAGGCAGATGGGTAGAGAGGGCAGGGTTGCCTTATTAGTCAGAAATGAAATTAAATCAATAGCAACAAGTGATATAAGGACGGAAGACATATAATCTGTATAGGTACAGTTGAGGAACCGCAAAGGAAGAAAAGACCCTGATAGGAATTATGTTCAGGCCTCCTAACAGCAATCCGGATGTGAGGCAGAAAATTAATCAGGAGATAGAAAAGGCAATCAGGAGATAGAAAAGGCATGTAAGAAATGAACTATTACAATAATAAGGATATTATTCAGAATGCAGGTGGACTGAGAAAATCAGAATGGTAGGTAGTGGATTCCAAGAAAAGAAATCTGTGGAATATCTACAAGGTTTGTTTTGGAGCATCTTGTGGTAGAGCCCACTATGGAAACAGGCAATTATGGATTTGGTGATGTGTAATAAGACAGACTTGATCAGGGAATTTAAGCTGAAGGAACCCCTCGGGGGGCAGTGACCATAATATGATACAATTCATCCTGCAACTTGAGAGGGAGAATCTGGAATCAGATGAAATGATATTACAATCGAGGAGAAGTAACTACAAAGGTTTGAGGGAGGAGCTGGCCAAAGTTGATTGGAAGGGGATCCCAGCAGAAAGATAGTGGAGCAATGGCAGGAGTTTCTGGGGGTAATTTGAGAGGCACAGCAGAAATTCATCCCAAGGAACAAATAACATACTAAGGAGAAGTATGGCTGACAAGGGAAGTCTGGGACATCAGAAAAGCAAAAAAAAAGCATACAATACAGTGACGATTGGTGGGAAGCCTTTAAAAGCCAGCAGAGGACAACTGAAAGAACAATAAAGGGAGAGATGATAAAATATGTGTACAAGCTACCAAATAATATAAAAGAAGATTCCAAGAGTTCTTTAGATATATAAAAGGTAAGAGACAGAGAAGGGTGGACATTGGACCACTGGAAAATGAGGCAAGAAAAGTACTAATGGGGAAGAAAGAAATGGCAGAAGTACTGAATAAGTACTTTGCATCAGTCTTCTCTGTGGAAGACACCAGTAGCACACCAGAACTTCAAGAGAGTCAGGAGGCAGGAATGAGTGTAGTGGTCATCAGTAAGGATAAAATTTTGAAAGGTCTAAAGGCAGATAGATCACCCAGGCAAGATGGGCTACGCCCCAGTGTTCTAAAGGAGATAGTGGAGTTATTAATGGTGATATTTCAGGAATCACTGGAGTTAGGGAAGGTCCCAGAGGACTGGAAAATGGCAGATATAACACCCCTGGTTTAAGAAGGGAGGGAGGCAGAAGACAGGAAACTATAGACCAGTCACTGGTAAGATTTTAGAGTCTGTTATAATAGATGAGATTGCAGAGTACATGAAAGTGCATGGTAAAATAGGGCTGAGTCGGCACTGCTTGGTGAAGAGGAGGTCATGCCTGACAAATCTGCTAGTATTCTTTGAGGAGTTAATGAGCGAGTTAGACAAAGGAGAGCCAGTGGACATGATCCATTTGGATTTGCAGAGGGCCTTTGCCAAGATGCTGCATAGGAGGCTGCTAAATAAGATAAGAGTGCTTGGTGTTAGGGGCAAGGTACTGGCATGGGTAGACAATTGGCTGACTGGCAGAAAGCAGAGAATGGGGATAAAGGGGTCTTTTTCAGGATGACAGCTGGTGACTAGTGTTGGGATCTGTGTTGGATCACAACATTCACATTATATATCAACAATCTGGCCAATGGACATTGTTGCGAAGTTTGCAAATCACACAAAGATAGGTGGAGGGACAGGTAGTGTTGAGGAGGTGGGGAGGCTGCAGAAGGACTTGGACATGTTAGGAGAGTGGGCAAAGAAGTGGCAGATGGCATACAATGTGGAAAAGTGTGAGCGTATGCACTTTGGTAGGAAGAATAAAGGCATAGATTATTTTCTAATTGGGGAAAGGATCTGAAGCACAAAGAGACTTAGGAGTCCTTGTTCAGGATTTCCATAAGTTTAACATATCGGTTCAGTTGGCAGTTAGGATGTCAAATCCAGCATCAGCATTCATTTTGAGAGGGCTAGAATACAATAGCAGAGATGTACTGCTCAGGTTGTGTAAGGCTCTGGTCAGGTGGCACGTAATCTTAAGAGCAGTTTTGGCCCCATATCTAAGGAAGATGCGAAGGCCTTCAAGGGAGTTCAAAGGAAGCTTACAAGAATGATCCTGGGATGAAGGGCTTGTCATATGAGGAGTGGTTGAAGATTTTGGGTCTGTACTCGATTGAGTTTAGAAGGTTGAGGGGATGTCTCCCAGAAACTTGCAGAATACTGACAGGCCTGGAAAGAGTTGATATGAAGAAGATATTTCCATTAATAAAAGTAAGTATCTTCTTCCAAGGATCTTTTAGCTTCAATTTCATTTACATACAAACAGTTGACTATTGCTATACATGTTACATACGTAGATTAAGTCAGGACCAGCTGACACAGGGAATAACTGAACCATGGCAAAGAGATATTGCATGGCTGCCATATTTCAATATTTCAATTTCAGCCTACAATTCTATATCACAAAGCAGTATATTCAGCTTATTTCATTGCTTGCTGCTTTTGTGGGCAGGTTCATTGGGTGCGATACAAATCTTAAATCATAGACTGTACTTCTATATTCCCTTATAGATCTGACCCACATGATCAAGTAATCAACATAACTCTGTACAAAACATGAAAACCTTCACAGTTTGGAATTAATAATTCAAAATATATCTATAGCTTATCAGCAGGTGTTTAATGGATCTATAGCATACATGTTGTGATAAGGCTTCTGCGAATCTTTTGCACGTGACATTTTCTTATTAATATTTTAAAAATAATACAGAGCTGTATTTTAAGATAAAGAAAACAAAAGGAATCACAAATGGTCCAGAATGCATCATGACCAATGAAGCTCCAGGCACAAAATTGGTAAAGCCTGCAAAAAATACAATACATATGCTGTGCTTGAAAATAACACTACTTTTCTTTGCCTACCTTGATTAAGGGAGGAAAGTGAAATAGATTCAAGTAGTCAAGGGTCAGTTTTTCAATTTCAGTCTGAAAGAGAGCACAGATGGGTCTGTTAACAGCAGGAAATCTCTTCCATCTTTTCAACAACTTTCACCTAGCGTCTTATCCTTCAGAAATGAATGTTTCTTTTTAAAGCTATTTTAATCATTTTATTTTTGTATAATGATACATAAGGATAGGATTAAGTTATTCAGTCTATCCCCTTATTCCGTCAGAGAATACATAAATACCTGTAGCAAAACATTTCATTCATTCTGCATCTTGGTATTAATGCATTTCCTCTGAATTCCAAATTGCAATGAATTTTCTCTTAACGTATATTTGGAAACCTATTCTCCCTCTGTTGATATCAAAGATATTTTTTGCAGTGAGAGGGGTGTAACCAGAAACTGAAACACCAACATTCAGTTCTTTTAGAGAATTGCACAACTAAACATTCCGCACAGGAATGAAGTTTTTGCAGAATACTTTAGGAAATTATTAAGTAAACTGAAATGTTAAGAAGAAAGATTAAAAGACAAGGATAGGATAACTGCATGTTTAGAAAAGAATGGCAAAATTAGGCATTAATGAAAAGGAAACGGTGTTTGACAAAGTTGTTGGTGTTTTTGTGAACATTTTACTCATTTCATAGACAAAAGAAAACCAGTCACTGTAGTGTACTTGGATTTTCAGAAGGATTTTAAGTTCCTAAACGGGAGGCTAGTAAACAAATTTGGAGTGCATTTGATGGGGGTCTGGAGGCGTGGGGGGTGGTAATATGAGTTGAGAAATGATTAATAAACAGAAATCTGAAATTAAGAATAAATAGATCATTCTCAGAATAGCAAGCTATTATTTGTGGGGTACTGCAAGCTTCGGGGCTAGATCCACAAATGTCAAAATCTGCATAAATTACATGGATGTGGCAACTGTTTATAGTTTTTTCCCAAACTTTCTGATGACTCCAAACTGTTAGGGATCTTAAATTATGAGGCGGGTGCAAGAAGACATCATAAAGGCCAGAACATGGCAGCTGGTAAATAATGTAAATAAATGTGAAATAGTTCACTTTGGCAGAACAAATTGAAAAGCAGAATATTTTGTAAATTGAGGGGGGTTGGGAAGTATGGGTGTCCAAAGAATTGTCCATAGGTCACATCACTAAAGGCTAGCATGCAGTTGCAGCAATCAATTAGAAAGTGGAATGGAATATTGGCATTCATTTCAAGGGAATAAGAGTACAGAAAATGTCTTGCTACAGCTATATGGAGCCTTGGTGAGACTTCATCTGAAGTACTGGGTACAGCTTTGGTCTCCTTATCTAAGAAAGGATGTTCTTGTCAAAGAGAGAGCGCAATGGAGGCTCACCAGATTATTCCCCGTGGTGGCAGGATTGTTTTATTAGGAGAAATTGAGAAAACTGCGTCTGCATTCTCCAGAATTTTACAGAATGAGAGGAGATCTTATTGAAATTTACAACATTTTTTACAGGGCATGACAAGGTTGAAACAGATGAGATGTTTTCCCTAGCTGGTAACTCACAATCACAACAGAAGTAGTAGTCCACTTAATACTGAGATGAAGAGCAATTTTTTTTTCACTCAAGATGATGTTGAATCTATGGAATTTTCAACTCTAGAGGGCTTTGGAATCTCAATAACTGAGCTGGTTTAGGTTAGAAATTGTTAGGTTTCTAGAAACTAATGACGTTAAGGGATATGGGGAATGGGAATAGTGAGGGAAAATGACAAATCCAAAAAGGCAGGGCAGGCTGAATAGATTGAAAGGCCTATTCAAATACCTTTGTTCCTGTAATAAAGCATGGATGTTGGAAATGCGAAATACAAATAGAAAATACTGAAGTACTTAGTGCCGATATTAGGTATCAAAGAGAAAAAAAACCCTTCTAATTCTTGGCCTCCATCATCTGGGGAGTGCAGATAGTCATCTCTAGGCCCGAAACGTCAGCCTCTCTGCTCCTATGATGCTGCTTGGCCTGCTGTGTTCATCCAGCCCTGCACCTTGTTGTCTCAGTCACCAATTTAATATGTCTACAGTTCAAGATTCTGAACTATTGCCTATACAGTTTTTTTGCTTGAAACACTTGTCATACAACATCCGATCTTTCTTATTTTAATACCTTTAAATGAATGATATGTCCTTTGGATTGTATTCCCATGTCTTTCATATCTTGCTCTGCTAGCAAAAGTAACCTTCGTCCAGTGATGTGATGATTTTTAAACAATTCAGCATAACCTTTCTTGCAACAATCTGTGTCACCTATGATCACAAAATCACAAAACTAAATACCATCAGCAAAATTAACTGAAACTCCAAACAGTAATGCAAAGAGATAACAACTTTTATTACCTTTATCTAATAGTTGTTGTATCCAAAAATACTGCACAAAAGAAATAAAATGGATGCAATTAGAATTAGAAGAGAAACATAGGTTCTAATTTTGTATACCACTGTCCGGCATCTCCAAGTACTGGTGAGCATAGACAAATATCCAATGTTATTGCCAACTAAAGAGATTTGCCATGGAAAAAAAAACGTTTTTTGGAAAGTTAAGAAACATAGAATTCCTACCATGTAGAAAGAGGCCATTCAGCCCATTGAGTCCACACTGACCCTCTGAAGAGCATCCCATCAAGACCTATCCCTGTGCAGTATCCCAACATGTACAGTGGTTAAACTACCCAGCCTGCACAGCCCTGAAACACTACGGACAACTTTAGTATGGCCAATCCATGTAACCTTCACATCTTTGGATATAATATGGTTAATTTTACATATCTTCTTTGCCAAAACAAATATTTAAACCTTGTTATGATAAATTATATTCCTAACTAATCTAGTTGTCTGTTAATCTTACTAATCTTTGTCCTATATTATTCAATTTAACTGTTATAATACATCAAAGCTTTAATTTAGAAGATGCAACCATATGCTTACCACATCTTCTTCTGTCCAAGAATATATATCCAAGGATGGCAGCAACTGCACCATAAAAGCAAAGCATAGATATTACAATGTGATCATGTTCACACAGATAAAATGGTTACAAATGAGAACTTACAGGTGAAACAAAATTAAGGACATGATTTTTTAATAGTAATCTATGAACAAGGGTATTTATTGCCTTGATTGAAAAAATGAGTCCCATGCATATGTATCTCTGATTATTGCTTGTCATAACAACCTTGTTTTCAAAAATAAACTATGTTGGCATATGAAAAAGATTTTGTGCTGGGACCTCAAATAAATTAGAATGGGCTGTCAAACCTTCACGTATCTGCCTCACCATCATAACCTTGCTCAGTTTTTAAAGTGCTAGTCAGTTCTCACATCGTAATTGAGAAGAATTTTAAGTTTCCTACATCTGCTGAGTAAATCACTGCAGTAGTTTGAAATTCTAATTTAGTCATTGGGATGGAATTTCATGGTACTGATATTCATTTCAATAACACAGTTGGTAACTACTCTGTAAAACATTCTAATGAAAAGCACTGCTTTTTAAAAAATCATCATTGTAGTTCCTCCCTTTTGAGCTCTCATCATTCCACACCTTCCCCTTATAACTTGGTGGCACTGTTTAGGTTTGAAGCCACACAATTGTTTCAATACTGCTTTTTCTTCAATAATAATAGGAATACATTGTACAATAATGCCAACGTGATTCTTTCAAACGTCTGGAGCAAAATGGACTGATACAGAGAGATAATCCCTGGAGCAGACCTGAGGAGTAGGCCAATGCACACATTTGGTAGCTAGACATGAATGCCAGTCAGTGCTGTAATTCCAACTTGGCCCCCAGATGCAGAATTTATACTATACTAAAACAGATGCTGTACCACCTCAGATAATTACATCATAATATTTTCGAAACTGAAAAGTTGCTCATTCCTATGAACAGAAAGGTCTAATCACATTACCTAGAAATGATTAGAAATTCAAATGCCTGTTACAACTATAATGGGGTTTCACCAAAAACATGCAAGTAGGTGTTCTGGTTAGATAGCTTTAGTAAAGTATCTGGGGGCAATAATCTCTTTCATAATAACACCAGAATTTAAAAACGACATCATTTTATTTGTATTACATGGCACTACTTTTTAATCATAATTCATATACATTATTTGATCATATAGTCTTCCTGTAATGCACTTTCTTTAAAAGTTCACAGGTCTACTATCTTAACTCCATGATATCGATTGTCATTTATTGTATTTCCAAATTTTTAACTACATTTGTTAAAACTAAGAAAGATATGACATTATTTAAATTTTAGCAATATTTAATTCCACATAAACTCCATATAACTCTGGTACTAAACATAGTACTATCACTTTAGTTAAATAAGTAAATAAGTAATAGGGTGTCAGTTAGGATGCCTTGTTTATGATGCATAGAGATGCCAGCAGTGTGGGTTCAATTCCTGCAGTTGTCATCTTAGCCACAGTGGCCCTTGGGTTAAACCACCAGTCATCCCTATGGTCTGGTAAGACTATGGCAACTTTACCTTGAAATTAGCAATTTCTAGAACAAAACTTTTCTCAATGACAGAAAAATACTTCTAATAATCAATCCTGATATTGGAAAATGATGTGTAGAAAATATTATTTTCAGTGATTTTAATACTGTTAATATTTAGAAACTTGTCTGAACATTTTTCACTAACTAATTATTTTGTAAGGGTTTGAAAATGCATATAATTTCAACGCTTGGAACCATGACAGTGAATAATTCCCAAATGCAAAGTCAAAAAAAGTTAACAAGTATGATCAGTATGGCATTTTGGTAACTTAACTTAATCCTTAATTAATCAACAGTTATTTTGGTCACAGGAGATAATTAGGGAAAATAAAACCCTCCTTAATACACAATTGAGACTGACTTCCTAATTCAAGTGTTAAAACTGCAAGTGACTTACAAAGGCCAGCCTGAATATTGTGCTAGTGTTAAAGCCACCCTCTTACCAAGCAGGTTTGTACAATTTGATTTATTCCTGTGTAAGAATTTTAGATATTATGGTGAGATTTATTTGAAATTATGGGATGTTTTGAAAGCTAACAAATGTAAGCATTGGTTTTCAATGTTTGTGCTTAAAATGAGAACAGGTAAAAGTAGACTTCACCTGATGCAGTCCTGCAGAACCAAGTATTTGCAATAATTTCTTCCTTATTTTAATTTAGAAAGTCGTGTTTTCATGATGTGCATACTTTTAAAATATAAAAATGGACTTTCGCATCTTAGCAGAAAAATTGATTTCTTTTTAACCCTGGGTGCGTGAAGGAAGCAGGGGAATATTGAGACTTGTTAACAAAAAATAGCAAAGGACAGGGAATATGTACTAATCACATTGTATTGATCAGTGTCATAAAGCATAGAAGTCTTGTACTATTACGACATGGTGCATGTCTTCATTGAAGGACAAAACTCTTTCAGCCACAATGCTTTGCATTGTAAGTTATACTCTATAGTGAGATAGAAGTTAACACTTAATGTTAAATACTTAAACATCATTTATGTAAGTACAGGGAGCATCTTCTCTTCAATCCATCACTTTGTAATTCATCAAGATTTGCCTTTAAATTTGTCTCAAGTGTACTAATAACTTACAACAAATATAGAAACACTGAAGGTTTCCGAGGTAAGTCAAAATCCACTGAAACAAAGGGAATTGTTTTGTGTTCTTGAGAAATTATAATATTAAAAGATTAGAGATATTATTCACTAAATAATAATAATGCACACATGTAACTGTATGTCTTACAACATATCTTCTGAATCCAAATTTTAATTTTGTTTGAATAAATGAATTAATGGCTGTTGGGCAGATTTTGTGATCATTTCATTTGATAGCTTCTGTGAAAACTCCAACAGGCAGCAGCCAGGACACAGTAATAAATATTCTTCCACCTTCCCAAAAATAAAATTAGAATGGTCTTTCTTTGCAATCCATAGCTAAAGTACTACGCTGCTCAAGATGGAATTTAATAGCCCAAAATAAACAGCAGAAACTTATGTGGCAAGCTGAGGTTAACTTTTACTTGGTTTCACCATGCTCAGCAGTGCAAAAAGAAGATAGGTTTAGTCAGTATTAAAAATCTTTGCCTGCTGTCCTCAAAACGCCACTCTGGTGATGGCTATTTGAAAATAGTGAAGAGAATTCGGAAATGAATGGAAGCAGTAATAATGGTAAATGAAATTATCAATCATTGCAAACGCAGGAGCGCAGTATGAAAAATGCACTTAATATCTTTGATAAAATGCAACTATAACTATCTATCCACACTCCAAAAATATTTCATTAACTGTGAACAAACAGGGTAGTGAAGGAAAAAGAATACAATTTTTATCAGTTTTTTTAAAATCCTTCACATTGTGGCATACATCTAAAGGGGACTCTAGTCATCCAGTTAATTGCATACATGTCTATGTCCATGTATGGGTTTAGATATTTGGGATTCACCTGTTCTCTCACCCCACCAACTCTTCCCGCCGCACCCCCGAAAACCATGACTCCCCCAGCTCTACAACCCTCTGCGATTCTGATTTCCTCCACTATGGCCTCGCCCACCATTTCCTGTGTAGGCCTTGACCACTGGCATTCTCTCCTAAACTTATCCACCACTTCCTTTATGATCCTTAAAACACAGCTTTTGATTAAACTTTTAATCACCAGTCCAAATATTTCCTTTGGCCTAGTTGCACTTTTTGCTGGTTGTCCTTTTGTGAAGCATCTTGAGACGCTTTGCTACACTTAAGGTGACACATTGAAACAAGTTGTTTGAGGTTTGTCACGGTTAACGGTTAGAAGGAAGCCTCTTTCTGCAAGCAAAAGGCACTAAAACCAACTGGACTGCCAATTTCTAAAACTAACTCAGCAAAGACCAGGTGGTGAATGTGAAGATTCTGCTCAGAACAGGTCAGTGTTACATTAAGTACTAAGGGAGCCAAGCTGAAATTAAACTTAAATATGGAAAAATTGATGTTTTCCATGCACTTATGATAAATATGCTATTTCCAGTAGGTGGCACTCTCATCTATGAAGTATTCCACACTGACCACCACTACTTAAGGGTCCATCTTTACTTAATTTAATTAATACTAAGATAACTATTATATTTTATTTTAGTCTTAAAACACTGGATAATGTAGTGATAAAGTTGCAACTGAAATATTATCTCAATTTCAAATAGAAGTGTTCTGGGTGTTCATTAAAGACACTATATATAACACAGGTTTCATTTTTGTTGTTTGGTCCAAGTCACCATTATTTCTAATGCAAAAAAAACTGATGGCTATAAGGGACAACACCAATTACAATCATTGAATATTAAATATTGATTTTGATTTGAGTTAGGTGTTTTGACACTGATTCTAACATAGAAAAACCTATATTCCCCCAATGTTTTTGCACACATCTTAAGAGAAAGAATGAGGAGGAAATTTAAAACAATTCTGTTGTCAGCATGATTAGCTGCTGTAGAAGACAAGTTAACAGCAACAATTCTGTGTAAATAACCTATAGCAGAGCAAGTACTAGAAGATGTTTTTTTCATAAGAAAAATTATCCCCAAAATGGAGCAAGACTGTCTGTTAATCATTAGTCTGCTCCGTTATCAATTACATCAATCATTTAAGAATCTCAGAACACATATCCAAATACACTTGTTATTGATACCTTCATTTTCATTTCAATGGATTTAAATTGGAAAACAATAATTAGCTGTTAGCTACCTTTGCATTTGTAACAAAATACAACAGGATAGATTTTTCTGAGTTTAAACTAGGAGGGGAAGATTTTCTGGAATCTATACGTTCAGGCTAAAATGGCACATTGATTGACTTAAATAGACAGGAAGCAATATTTTGATTTCCGAATGGCAGGTTGAGATGCAGAGATAAAGTTAGTCGTGTGTTTTTAAGTTTAAAAAACATTCATGTTTTGGGATCCAAAACCTTATGTTAATGGAAATAGAAATGCAACTAAC